GGAGGAGGAGGAAGAGGAGGAGGAGGAGGAGGAGGAGGAGGAGGAGGAGGTCCAGGGCGCCGCTAGGCGCGCGTGGCGCAAGCACAGACTCGGGGACCCGCAGAATCGGGCTGCGGGGACGGCAGGAAGAGGAGGAGGAGGATGGCGATGCGGGGAAGGGCATGGGGAATATGATGAGGCACAGAACGGGATCTCGTGGAGTTCCGGTGTTCCGTTTGTGTTCAAAGTTCGTGACGCTTGTCGTCTCCCCAACAACCTCATTCAGACTTAGTTCCTAAGCGAGCCGTCGTGAGAGCGGAAGTAGAGAAGCGGCAGTGAAACATGTAAGGGAAGCATCCGGAAAGCCAAATTATTCATTTCCCCACGCAGGTTTGCGAAGAGTGTAGCCGCGCGGGTATACGGCGCATTTCCACTCGTTGTTTCAGCATAGCTCAGCTTGGCATCGCGCAGTTTTGCTTATATTCGTTTTCAGCTCTCACCTAGGCTGGATTTGGCAATTACTGACACGATTGAGGCGTATCTGAGCCTAGCGTCAGCGAGCTCAGTTTTCTTAGGCTGAGTTGAGCTGATCGGAGTTTGTGCCATATCTGAACGCAGACTGGTGCAGCGAAGCGCAGCGAGACTTTGACGCTCAAAGCTCCGAAGGCCTTACAGCCTTTCAGACATATAGTCGCGTGAACGGTCCAGTTAAAGATACATGTATGCAGGTACACATGGCGGTGAGCAGTACAACCTCAGATCTCTGGTGGCCTTCGAACCATCCCGCCCCCGCTCCAGGATCGTGGCACAGAGGCCTCCTGGAGGCCTCGGGTCTCTTCTGGAGCCTCTTGGATGCCTCTTGGGGGTCTCTTAGAAGCCTCTTGCGGTGGGCCTCTTAAGGGCCTGCTGGCGGTCTCATGGCCATCTAGGCGAGCAGAGGCTCATGCGAACCCTCCGAATGTCTGGCGTGGGCTAATACGGGGCCTACTGTGGGCCTGCCTGCCTCTTGTGATAGCCTGGGCTCTGTCTGGAGTAAAAAATCGGGGGCCTCTTGGGCCATCTTGGACGCCTGAACCAACCGGCGATCATATTTCTTCTGTTCAGCAACCGATGGCTTTGAACGAACTCGGCCTCGTTGGCCGACCCGCGGAGGCCCCAAGACGACCCGAGGAGGTTTCAGAACAAGCCACTGGGACCACCTTCGGGCATGTTGGGGGGACGGATCATTTGCAAGCCACATCGTGATGCCCCCCCCATGGTTCTGCGTCACGCCAGTGATGCGCTCGTCTTCTTCATCGGCAGGCGTACTTCGCTTTGGTCGACAGAGCAGTTTAGAAACATGCTTCCCGTCCACACGCCAAACGGCGTGTGCCTTCCCGACTCGACTCGCATTCTGAGGTTTCGGGAAAAGGAATGCGATCCTCCCCCGAGGCTCCTGCAGCCGCCCGACACTCTCAGAAACCCGGGATCCGCGGCCCTTGGACCCCACGGTCGAGTCTGATTAGCGGGTCGGCGCTGTCAAATCAGGGGTACCCTTGCGACCCTCGCCTCGTCTCCGCCTCCTCCCTTTTCCGGCCTGTGCCTCCATTTGTTTTGGGCGTGTCCCGCCCGTAGCCCGATTGGCGACGGTACCGTTTTCGCATTCTTTTGCCCCCGCTGACTAACAACGTGTCTGGCGATCCATGCCTTCGACATCCTTCCGGCGGTGTGGCCCTTGGAAGGGTCTTATGTTCTCTCGCGTGTCTTCGCCGACCGACATCGACTGCAAGGGACGTGAGGGCACTCCACTGGTTGCCAGCGGCGTGGTGGTGGACGTCTGGCCATTTCTGCGGTGCTCGAGGCCTCCCAGATGGGGTCCGAGCAGATGAGACGGGAGGACCGCGCCGCGTCGCCGAGGAGTCGGCGATGTGGCTCGATGTGGAGGCTGATTTTCTACGCGCCGAAAGTCCAAGGGGGGAAGGAGGAGGAGGAGGAGGAGGAGGAGGAGGAGGAGGAGGAGGAGGAGGAGGAACAGGAGGAACAGGAGGAGGAGGGGGAGGAGGAGGAGGAGGAGGAGAAGCCCCTCCCCCTCTACACGCCGAAGGCACTGATACACCGCCGGTGCATCGTCACTGCATCGTCACCGCACATCGGCGATGCGGCGCCACGCTCGGGCCCCATCTGTTCGCACCCCACCTGGGAGGCCTCCAGGTGCCCAGCCATTCGTCCTCCTCCTCCTCCTCCTCCTCCTCCTCCTCCTCCTCCTCCGCCCCACCCCGACCATCCAGTGACCAGCGAGAAGCTCCACACGTCGTCATGGGGCGCGCAGCGATGCCCCCCCCCCCGCCAGAGCCCCAGCTCTCGGCCGTGGGGGCGGCCGCACGTGGCAACCACGCCGCTCACTTTGCGTTGTTTCGATCTCGTCATGAGAAGAAGCTGTACTTGTGGGTTCGCCGACAACTCATGAGAGCCTCCCACACCATCTTGTTTGCTCTTGCGAATCGACTCCAATCGGCATCCAGATGACGCTAATTGACGCTAGTTCGGCGCTATCTCATCGAGTACCTCACGCTAACCGACGCTAGTTGGCGCTAGAGACGGAATTGGAATTGTAAGTGCACACGAGGTTCCCATGATCTATTACCGAATGTGGGAAGAGGCACGGATTCTGGCGCCCTCAAGCAGCAATACACAGCATCGATTCGGTTGATCTTGCATCGGGCCTTGTCCCGTACGGCAAGGTGTTATCCTCAAGGTTCAGGGACTTACTCGCCGCCAATGGCGTTGGCCAGCGCATATGGGCCATTCGGTTGGTATCTCACCAGGCCGCTGACGCGAAACCAACAAGCATCGGCTTGGCAGAGCCTGGTGGGCACTACCACGACGTCGAGCGACGCGCGGCTCCACGCCGTGCCGGCTGCCGGCCCCTGCCTCGGCCTGCGCCCGCGCAGGATGTTGCGGTCCTGCACCGCCGCCAGCGGGACGAGTGTGGCGTCGCTGAGGCCGCGCGGCCGTGTGGGGGCACGATCCGGGGGACGAGGTCAGGGGCAACGCCCGGGGGGATCAGCTCAGGTGGTCCGAGGAAGCTCGGGAGCTTCGGGCTCGAGGATTTCGGGTGTCCTCGTTGGTGCGGCGTTTTCCGGCCTCGGGGCGCGTTTCAGCAACTGGGCCTCTGCGAGAGCGTTCCCTGGGGGGGCCTGGACCGGCCCGAACGGTCGCCAGAGGCCCGAGTTAAACCAGAGATCCCCCCCCCCACCCCTCAGGGACAACGTCAGTGGGGGGGCAGGCTCAGTGGGGGATGCAGATGGCAATGATTCCCAATCGCCCATTGATCGCCGATAGAGGCCCGACAGCCCTTACCGCACAGGAACGCTCGGTTTCGCTATTGGGTGTCCTTTGCCGATCTATGGGCGATGCATTGCCGATTCCAGGTCGATGTCCCCCCCACGCGTGCCAGGCGCGCCACGCGCGCCAGGCACCCCTGGGGCCCGAGCGTGCCAGGCACGCCTGGTGCGCCAGATGCGCCACGTGCGCCGCGTGCGCCAGGTGTGCCGCATATTCCAGCCGCGCCAGGTGCGCCACGTTCGGGGCACGTGCAGAGTGCCAGGTGCGCTTGCGCACGTGACAGCGCGCATCGGGAAACATGTCCCCCCCGACCATCCCTGTCGAAAGCCAATGCCCATCATTGTGTCTGGTGGGCCTGCGCACAGCAGGCCATGCGCCATCACCACAGCCGTCCCTGTCAAAAACCCTTTGACAGTGATCGCGGGGTGGCCGCGCACGATCCTGATTTTGCCGCGAAGCGTATTTAGTATTGTTTTTTCGTCAGGGGTGGTAGCCCTGCAATATACCACCACCCCCGCCACTCCTATCAAAACAGTAAGAATTGCTCGCGGGCCTCACGAACATGACGCAAAATTTTGCCCCGAGGTGCGTATATATAAACAAATAGGCCGGGACCCCTTCTGGGGCGTCCTCCACCTCGCTCACATCTGGTGTACGCTCCCGGTACCGCGCTTCCCAGCCTCCTGAGGAGCTCCCAAAATGCCCAAAGACAGCCCAAGACGACCCCACGAAGCCCCCAGAACGTAAAAGAAAGGCCCAAGACGCTCCCAAGCAACCCAGGATAGGTTTCGGGCGGCTCTCCAGGCTCCCAGGAGGCCTCCAAGAGACCTCAAGAGAGCTCCGAGAGGCCTCCCGAGAGCGCCCAGAGAACCTAAAATCGTTAATTTTCAAAGTTTGTTTCAGGGTTGTTGGCCTTCTCACCATTTCATGTTTCCAACGCTCCAAGACGGCCGAAGGGGCCCCGACGACCACTCAAGACGCCCCCAATCCGTACCCATTTTTGCTCAAGCCAGTCTGCCTCAAATCTGGCTGAAGCCACCGATCGCCGAGCGAGAGCTACACATCCTATTCATCATACTGAACACTTGGAACGTCTGAGCGCAGTGACTCTGTACCGGTGCAATGAAATCCATTTGGTTGATGGCTGGATCTTTCTTGTCGTCGTTAGTGGGAGGCGCCGCGATGAGCATCACATCCATGAGTCAGGACGCATCCAACACCTATGAAGCTGTGAACTCGACAAACCAAGCCTTGGCACCAACCTCCTGGAAGACAATCTACGGTGGGATTGCTAGTGTGGGCTGCTCTTGCACAGTGTCTATGTACGAACACTACCTGTCGTCTGGGTACGGGTGCGAGGGTTCCAACACTGGCGCTGTCATTTCGTACAGCACTGTTGGCGCATGGATCAACGTCATGTCTGGGATATCGTCTCTCGTCCTCAACGGCTCCTGCACGATGATCACTAACGTGAACCTAGATTACACGTACACGCCAGGCGCTTATTGCTACCCTTTGCCGACTGGGAACGATAACATCGGATCCGTACTCCTGAGTTGCGCTGGCACTCCGTCCCCGACGCCCTACCCGACGGCCTTTCCGACGCCAAGCCCGACGCCAAGCCTGACGCCCTATCCGACGCCCAACCCGACGGCCTTTCCGACGCCCTTCCCGACGCCCAGCCCGACGCCCAGCCCGACGCCCAGTGCGGGCGGAGTCGGCGGAAGCGTTTCTGCTACAGGAGATCCCCATCTGCAAAACGTTCTTGGCCAGCGGTTCGACTTGCTGAAGCCGGGCAAGCATGTCCTGATAAGCATCCCCCGTGGAAGGCATAAGAACGCATTGCTGCGTGTGGAGGCCGATGCGCGTCAACTGGGTGGACAATGCGCAGACATGTATTTCCAAGAGTTGAATGTCACAGGGGAGTGGGTGGAGGCGACAGGGTCTAGCGGTCTCAATTTCAAAGCTCAGGGAGTGCATGATGAGCAGCCGAAGTGGTTCAAGTTTGGGATGGTGCAGGTTAAAGTTGCCCATGGGCGCACTCTGAACGGACACTGGTATCTGAACTTCTACGTCAAGCATCTTGGATATTCTGGCTACGCTGTCGGAGGATTACTAGGAGAAGATGACCACACTGAGGCAGCGATGCCCTCGAAGGCTTGCGTTCACTACACGTCCCTGTTTACGGTGCTGCCCGATTCGTCTCAAAGCGCACCCGTCTTCTCAGTTGCCGAGGCGAGTTTCGCTTGATGACCCGTGCGTGGCACGAGGTCCCAGCGTAATTATAATATACGGCCAGTGCCGCCGTCCCTGGAAGAAGACCTCCATGATGAAGGTGACAGCCTGAGTTGTTCGGCCCAAGGCCGCCGGGCTGGGCAGGGGAGGGGGTGTATATTTGGCACAAGCGTTCCAGTCTTGACGTTTGCATGTGTGGTTCGATCAGCGACAAGCGTTCGAACATTCGCTTCCCGTTCTTCTCAGGTCAGGTTTTAAGGTAGGGCGGTCTGGAGCGCAACAGGCCTACTGCGTTGTTGCACCCTGTTATACCCTTTTGCCTTCAAGCGTGACGTCGCCCGTCATACAGAGCGCAGAAAAAGGACGCCCAAAAGGCCCTCAAGTCGGCCCCAAGACGGGCCAAGACGGCCCCGAGACTGCCGAAGAGGCTCCCAGGACGGCTCCAGACCACCCCAGAACAGGCCCAAAATGAGCCCAAGAGCGGGAGCAGGAGGCCGCCGGAGAGCTATGAGAGGACTTCGGGATCCCCCAGAGGCCTCCAACACACCCCAAACCCCTGAGAGGCTCCCAAAAAAGCGCCGACGAGGCCCCCCAAACAGCCCAATACAGCTTCGAGAGTCGTCTCGAGAGAGCCCGAAGAGGGTAAAAACGTTGCTTTCCAGTGGTTTTAGTCGACGCTTTTCGCCTTCTCACGTTTTCGCGCTTCCAACGCTCCAAGACCGAGTAATTCGAAACAAAAGCAATTCCAGAGATTCCTTTTTTTCCCAACCATCCTGTGGTGTTGGGTCCTCGTTTTGAAGAGACGGTCCCCGCGTTCTCCTCCTCTCGTGCCCCTCCCCTCCTCCCTACCGTCCGCATGCGTCCCGCAAGCCCAGTACAACGTTTCGTGGCTCCATAGGGAGCTCCACCGAAGGTCCCAGTGCTACCGTCCGCATGCGTCCCGCATAGGGAGCTCCACCGAAGGTCCCAGTGCTACCGTCCGCATGCGTACCGCACACCCAGTACAGCGTTTCGTGGCACTCCTCCCCCTCCTCCCTGCGTTTCACCCACCCAGTAGACCGTTTCGTGGCCCCATAGGGAGCCTCACCGAAGGTCCCAGTGCTACCGTCCGCATGCGTCCCGTTCACCCAGTACAGTGTTTCGTGGCCCCATAGGGAGCCCCACCGAAGGTCCCAGTGCTACCGTCTGCATGCGTCCCGTACACCCAGTACAGCGTTTCGTGGCCCCATAGGGAGCTCCACCGAAGGTCCCAGTGCTACCGTCCGCATGCGCCCCGCACACTCAGTATACCGTTTCGTGGCCCTTCTCCCCCTCCTCCCTGCGTTTCACCCACCCAGTAGAGCGTTTCGTGGCCCCATAGGGAGCCTCACCGAAGGTCCCAGTGCTACCGTCCGCATGCGTCCCGCACTACCAGTACAGCGTTTCGTGGCCCCATAGGGAGCCCCACAGAAGGTCCCAGCGCTACCGTCCGCATGCGTCCCGCACACCCAGTACAGCGTTTCGTGGCCCTCCTCCCCCTCCTCCCTGCGTTTCACCCACTCAGTACAGTGTTTCGTGGCCCCATAGGGAGCTCCACCGAAGGCCCCAGTGCCCCCGTCCGCATGCGTCCCGGAAGCCCACTTGGGCATTTTCACTCACCCAGTGCAGCGTTTCGTGGCCCCATAGGGGGTTCCACCCAAGGCCCCAGTGCCACCGTCCGTATGCGTCCGGGAAATGTAATTTGGAATTTTCACCCGCGCAGTGCAGCGTTTCGTGGCCCCAAAGGGGGCTCCACCGAAGCCCCCAGTGGGACCGTCCGCATGCGTCCCGGTAACCCAATTTGGCATTTTCACTTAGTAGAACGCTTCGTGGCCCCATAGGGAGCTCCACCGAAGCCCTCAGTGGGACCGTCCGCATGCGTCCCGGAAACCCAATGCGGCACACCACCCACACAGTACAGCGTTCCCCCCCGCCCAGTGCAGCGCTTCGTGGCCCCATAGCGAGCTTCACCGAAGCAGATATTCACAATTACGGTACCCACAACTGCATATGGTTGGGATCTTCGCCAGGATAATTTTCAAGTTGGAACTCCTACTCCCTATTCTCTTCCTCGAGCTCCATCAAGACTTCGGGGTCACATGCAAAAATGTTTCGGGAATGCTGTGGAACTCTCTGACCCTGTCTTGGCACTTTCTTTGATCGTTTCCGTGTCCTCTTGGAAGCCCCTGAATCCATTGTAGAAATCGAGATCGCAGGATCCCATGAGTGGAAGCAGTGGAATGTTAGAATTCCTGTTTTTCAAACTCACCCCCTGCTTATTTTTGCCCGAAGACCCCGAGAGGCATGCCAACAGACCGCGGCCTGCATGCAGAAAGCATCGAACCCACAGCCCAGGCACTACAACTTGAAAAAAGGAAATCCCACCATTCGGGTGTTTTTCCATGATGTTCGCCTTCTGTCTACTCTTGCAAAACAGACCACAATTAAGGCCCCAGAAAGGAACCCAGGAAGCCTTCGAGGGCCTTGAATCGTTGAACACCTAACGGCAATTAATGACTTTGCGTTTCCGCAGTTCCCCTTTCAATGCGATTCCGAGGCTTGAGCGGGGCCTCTAAGAGAGTTCTTTGGATGCAAGAAACGGCAAGGATGGTATTCCATGTGTCCGCCCATCAAGCCTAGCTAGAACTTGAGCGCGCGCGAAGCGCGCGCGATGGTTCTAGTAGACATATATTAAAGGACGGTGCGGAAGGGGGCCGCATCGGGTTGCCCGAGCATGCTCCGAATGTGGAGGCAGAGTGCATGTCGTATCATTTTTAAGACAGGGATAGTGGGGGGGAGCATGGTGTCCTCATTGTTCCTGGTTGGCTGCCGGTCGCTTGGGGGTGGGGATGTAGATTGATAGGGAACAGTGAACAGCCCCTCACTGAAGGGGAATAAGGGTGTTGGAAGAGGAGCCTCTCCAGACCACCTGCGCCAAGCGGGCTAGTGGGATTGGCGCAGGAAGCGTCGTGCAATCTACGTGGCGTCATATGTGTGGGGCAAGATACGTGGTGCAAACAGTGGCGTCCGCGATGTAAGTAGTGCAATTTACGTGGTGCGCGATTCGTGGCGCAGTCTACGTGGTGAGTGCTATGGGGTGCAGTTCTTTGCGAAACGGGAAACCCAACTAGAGCAAAGGGCGGCCCCGAGGCTTCCACAAGAGGAGAGAACTGGGGAAGAATGGGGTGGGTGGAGCGAGGTGGAGCGGAAAGGAGTGGAGTGGTGCGGATTGGGTGCCGCGGAGCGGAATTGGGAAAAGAACCCCCTTTCGGGCTGGCCCATCCGGCTGGACGGCGCGGGCACACTTCGAGCGTAAACTAACGATTCGCCCAGAATGGCCACTTGAACTCGCTCAGGCGACCACATCGTCTCTATGAACAACATGGCTATACATCCTCAAACTCTTTCAACGTGCGAGATTTGTTTGGGCCATTTGTGAATTTACAAGGTTGGGCCATTGTGTGGCCAATGGCAGGCTATTGGTCGCCACTCGCTATTTCACGCCATGCATGTCGTGTTGGCTACACGCGCCTTGCTTCCGTCAAGAGAAACAATATTTGCGGCCCATGCCGCACATTGCCGTGGACATTTCTTAGGTGCTAGAAAGCGGGCACAAACGCCCAGACATGGCATGATCTTTGAGCAAGTATTGGTTCTGCAAGCATCACGCCACAATACTGCAAGCAACGTGCACTGTACGAGCTCCTGCGTCGCAGCCGCTGACTTCGTGCGCCATGCAAAGTGGAGGCAGCGCTGACACAGAGTCTGGACTGCCGCACTCACGGAAGACCAAACGGTAAATTGACAACATGTTGCACCATTTTGTGTTGGCGACACTGGGCGTAACATTTGCTATTGGGATTAGTCTTTCACTGTGGCCCGTCCCTAATTTGATATCGACTACGGTCCTGGCTCGCCGAAACAGCTCGGTGGTGCAACAGTGTGTCGATCGCCCCGGAAATGCCAACAATTCATGTTCCCTTGCCTTCAATCTTCAAGTGGTGGTAGTGGTGGAAACACGTAGAAGCATGCATGCGGAGCCCAGGCCAAAGCGATGCAACCAAAAAGCCTTTTGTGTCGATGTGAGGCAGCCCCCGTGTGTTCTTCTCGCCACAGACCCGCCCACACTCGCCAAAGCATCGCCGTTTGGCGTCTGAGCCCGCTTTGCCGCCGAGCGGGGAGCCGAACAGACTCGATTCCGACAGGACGCCGGGAATTTCCTCCCGTTCTGGCACCCGAGCGGGATCGATCCTGGCCCTCTCTCTGCGGCCGAGTCTGCGGAGACGCCGGATGGGCTCCGGAGGGGGCCCCGGGGCCGCTTTTGCACGACATCGCGAGCTGTATCGCCCGGTGAGGGCCCGCAGGGCAGGGGGGCGGCCTTCGGCCTGCAAGCGGCCCAGGGCCACAGCGCCTGCAGCGACCTCGCCCTCTACGAGCTGGTCAGGCTGCGGGGCGGTTGGCGGGGGCACGGGGTGCAGGGGGGAGGCAGGCAACGAACGTCAGCCTCGTCAGACCTAGGGTCAACCCCAGTGGTCAGGACGAGAGACTGTCCACGGTTACCCCTGCATCATTCCCCCTCGGCCCATCCCTGGCCGCTTTCGCTGGCCGTGCCCCACTCGCAACTTGTCGACATGGCCAGCCAAGGTCCGTGGATCCTTATCGCTTGCCCTTCGTGTACGGGTTCACTGCATCCTCCATTCCCCCCTTTGAGCGAGGGTCCCTCGGCGCTATTGAGAAAGGGGGGAAGCTCCCCCCCCCCCCCTGGGTGGGTATCCCACTGCATCTCCTGTACGTTCTGTGCAGCCGGGGATCTCGAGCGGGAGAGGTCGCCCCCGTCCTGGAAAGTCCCAGTCCGCAAAACGGAGAGCAAGGTTTGGAGTGGGAGGAGGAGGAGGAGAAGGAGGAGGAGGAGGAGGAAGAGGCGGCCGAGGAGGAGGAGCCTAGGCGAAGCACGACGACGACAGGGAGTAGTTAGGAGGAGTATAAGGAGGAGGAGGAGGAGGAGGAGGAGGAGGAGAAGGAGGAGAAGGAGGAGGAGGAGGAGGAGGAGGGCAGATGGGAGGAGGCAAGAAGGATGGGGAGGCGTCCCCCTCCCTGCCCCCTGGAAGCAGGGATCACGAGAAGCCGCCCCTCCCGCCCCCCCCCCCCCAAATCAGTAGCCCGAGCCGCCACGAGCGACGCGGCGCGCCGTCCTCGGGGCGCGGGGCGCGGCGAAGAGCCACGCGGTCTCTTGGCGGGGCGTCGGGGCGCCGCCGGAGGACCCCCTTCCGGAGGAGTCTCCAGGACGGGGTCGGAGGGTCGGGCGAAAGGGGGGGATTGGGAAAGGGGGGGTTACGAAATTTGCTGCATGCAGCTGGTTTCGGCCTCACCGAGGAGCCCATTCCTCGATGCATGGGCGCCTCCCGGCGCCGGGAGGCGCCGGGCAAATCAGCTACGTGAGCTGATTCTCAAACCCCCCCTTTGCTATCCCCCCCTTTCGCCCGACCCGAGGGTCGGAGGCTGATGGACCTCCTACCCGGACACGTCGAGTAAGGAGTTGGCCGTTTTCGCATCGCGAGAGGGCGTCGCGGCCGTCATTTTGGCGGGTCCGGGTCCGTCGGTTTCGGTCCTAGGCCGTTCTCACTAAGGGGAGGTTTACTCAAGGGAGGTTTGTCCACCGCCGACGGGGCTAGGAGTAAGAGCATCCCAGGAGCAAGCTGCTCGAGCCTCCAGCGTGTCCCAAGGAGCGTTTTACTACTCAATCCCAATGCGCGTGCCTCGAGGCTCACCGCGGGTCTTTCGCAGCCCTCTCGGGGCTCCGTCGAAGCTCCTGTTTCGAAGTTTGCACAGGTCCCGAAGCAAGCTTTCCCCTGTACCTGTACAGGAGGAAAGTTCAAGAATAGCCAAACATTATCAGTTTTTGTGCTTTTTAGTTTAGTTTAGTTTTGCTCTCTTAAACCAAATGAAGACAACAACATGTTTTTGATAATGTTTGATTTTCATCCAAAATCCGCCTGTAGGAGGACATGTCCGACCTACTATGACGAGGATCAATCCGTTCCAGAGCTTGCCAGGACGCTCTCTCAGTGCGTTCTGGAACGCTCTGAGAAGGCCGCGGCGCCAGATACATCGTCCAGAGCCGCCGGATCTCAGAGATGTTAGATTTATCTTCACCCGATGTTATCCTGGCCCCGGCTTCGTCTCAGTCTCCGCGGGATCCCCGCAGGTCTGCAGGGGTCCCTGGAGGTCCCGCCAGAGGCCCCAGGAGGCGTCGATTTTCGCACCTCGATTCTGCAACCTCGAGGGGGCGTCGTCGGCAACCAAAACGGTGAGACTGCCGAGTTGAGGAAAAAATGGCAGGAGAATGGTCTTCGAACTGACTGATCACGGCCCCACCGCCGACGCCTTCAAGGCGCGCGGCCGCGCGTCAGTGCGGTTGCGGGCGTTCGCCGCGCCTCAATCCTTCAACCTCGACGCACTCACCTGCCTGAAGTTGCTGTCGGCTCAGTCGGCGATGCGCGCACACACAACGCTTCGCTGCGTCTGCATCTGCGGTGGCACCGCCGGTTCTGCTTCGCGTCATCTGGTTCACGTGGCTCGTGATGCGAGCGGCACGCGCACGAGCCACGGGGCCAGCACCAGAACATGTTGGTGTTTTTGGCTGGAGGGGCACCCGCCTCCCGGAGCCTCCATAGGTGGTCTGCTGGGCGCCCGCTCGGGGTCCCAGGGGGGTGCTCTTGGGGCGGAGGGCTCGAGATCGGAGTTCGAGTTTCTCTCCTTCTGGGCACTCCTCTTGAGGATCTTTTGATGCACTCACCTGTCCGAAGCTACCGTAGGTTCGCGTCGCGTCCACGCGGCTGCTGCCGCCGCGTGAGCGTTCGGGGCTGAGCGCCACAAGTGGCCCCAGAATCCGCCGACGTCGAATGATTTGCAGTATCGGAAAACCGCGATCGTTCAAGGTTGAGCGATCCAAGCGATGTCAGAAACCAACGACGTCATCGCGACGTGAACCCGCCGTAGTTGACCCACATTCGCTTCCGGCGCCCCCTTGCGGTAAGCGTTCCTCGAACCTCGATCCTCAAATTAGATCAGGTGTCAGAATCAGCATTCCTCGAACCTTCGATCCTCGAACCGCAAACCTCAATCCTCGTTCCTAGATCCCTTTCTGCCAGAAGTTGGGTTCCGAGGCTGGGATTTACTTAGTGGATTCGTGCCCCCGGGGACCAGCATACATGTGTATATATATATATATATATATATATATATATATATATACATGGAGGCCTATTGGGGCGTCCTGGAAGCCTCTTGGGCCGTCTTGGGACGAACTGGGGCATCTTGGAGCGAACTTTGGGCGTCTCGGCGCCCGTTTTGGAGCCCTTTTGGGCTGTCGTGGGACCTCCTCGGGCGGCAAAAGACGCCAACATGGCCTCTGCATGGGAGGGGGGGCAGCGAAGAAGCCGCGAACATGGCCCCCAGAGGTGGTTCCCGGGCGGAGAAAATGAATCCCCCTCGGACCCCCCCATCCTAGGGGGGGGGGGTCCTTTATATTTTGTATTGGGTGAGGTATATATATATATATGTATATATGTGTATATATACATACATATATATATATGTATGTATGGTCTCTCTCTCTCTCTATATATATATGTATGTATATATATATATATATATATGAGTAGGCCGGGGGGGGGCGGGCCGCTGCCTGTACCCGCGCCCCCTGGGGGTTTGGGGGAGTCCCAGAGCTCCCGAGACGGCCCGGGCCCTCCACGAAACAGGCAAGACAGGCTAAGGGGGTCCCAAGAGGGCCCAAGACTGTCCCAAGAGGCCCCGAAGACGCCCAAAATGCCCTCAAGATGGCCGACGAGGACTCCAACGCGTTCCAGGACGGATTCAAGAAGCTCCCCAAAAGGGCCTTGGGAGGCAAAATTCCTACACACACAAACACACACACACACACACACACACACACACACACACACACACACACACACACGCATACAGACAGACAGACAGACAGACAGACAGACAGACAGACAGACAGACAGACAGACAGAGACAGACAGACAGACAGAGACAGACAGACAGACAGACAGACAGACAGACAGACAGACAGACAGACAGACAGACAGACAGACATACACACAGACATATATACACATATATATATATATATATATATATATATATATAGATATATGTATATTCCTCTTCCTATATTTTTATAAGCCCGGGCGGGGGGAAAACCTGTCACCCCCCCTAAAACCGGACCCCCAGGATCTGGAGCTTTGGGACCCTCCGGACGGGCCTCGAAGCGGCCCTCTGGGCCTCGCAAGGCGTTTTGCCAAACCTTCGCAGCACACCCAGGGCGATCAGGGGGGTCATCGGAGACGTCCCAGAGACCCCCAAGACAGCACAAGAGCGCTCCAAGAAGCCGTCATATCCCGAAAGATCGCTCCAAAACGTACCAAGAGGCCTTCAAGAGCACCCCCAAGAAGGCACCAAGAGGGAAAAATCATTGATTCTATGTGGGTTTGTGGTGCATTTGGGGTTATCCTCTTTTCGGCTTCCCAACGTTCCAAGACGGCGGTCTCCTAGGCGTCCGAAGCCGCCTGGGAGGCTCCCAAATCGCCCCACAACCATCTGAAAGGGCTTCCGGGCAGTCCCCAAGAGAGCTTCAAAACGGCACAACAGGAGTCCAAAATGGCCCTAAGAGAGCACCATGGCGGCCCAAGATGGCCCCAAGACACCCTCCGAAGCATTCCAAATCGTGACTGGGGCGTTCAGGGAGACCGCGGTTAGAGGCAGGTTGGCCTTAGGAAGCCCCAGAGGCCCCCAGAACACACCCAGGAGGCCTCCAGAAGGCTTTAACAAAGCCTGAGAACTTTGGTGAGGCCCCCAGAGGCTCTCCAAGGAGGAGCCTCCGCAAAAAGAGCTGAGGATGATGGGGAGAATGCCCAGGGTATGGCGATAATGAGGAAAAATAAGCATGGAGGAAGGAGAACGAACAACATTACTAGCCGGCCGCTCTGCGGTTGATCGGGAGTTTCTGTATATAGAAGAAGGTGCGTGCGCTTGTTGGCGAGGGTGATGAGGTTCCTCCTCCTCCTCCTCCTCCTCCTCCTCCTCCTCCTCTTGCCTCCGTCTGTCCTCCTCCACCCCGCAGCTCCATCATCTTCTCCTCCTCCTCCTCCTCCTCCTCCTCCTCCTCCTCCTCCTCCTCCTCCTCCTCCTCATTCCTCCTCTGGGCACCTCCCCCGGGGCGCGGATCCACCGGATCTGTCCGGATCTGTCCGGAAACGGTGCCGGAGGCCGCTCTGGGCTCCTCTGGGCACCTCCCCCGGGGCCGGTTTTGTGAGGATGTCTCAAGCGAGGGCGCCGGTTTGGGATTCGTCACCGGATCCAGCGGATCCAGCGGATCTGTCCGGAAACGGTGCCGGAGGCCGCTCTGGGCTCCTCTGG